GTCAGCGACGGAGCGGGGCGGGGCGGACGTCTTGCAAGAAGACGAGCACGTCCAGCTTTTCTGCGGGCGCGCCCAACCAGCTGTGTTGCCATTGGTCAGCAGCGGTTGCGTGCGCGTGCACGCGCGGTCTCCCGGGGAGGTCCCGCAACGTGGGGCGTGTTGTGACGGCAACCTCGCGCCCTTGCGGATCGTGCGTCTCTTCGGATTGGCCAACCGATAGCCAATAGGTTCAGCGTCCTGGCTGTGATTGGCTGTGGCTGTGTTGACGGATGCGTGAGAAGAAATCACCGCCTCAGCGGGGCGTCTTGAAACGCGCGCGAACTCGGGTGGAGACGAGGCACTCAGAAAACAGGTGTAGGGCCATAAACATATCATAGCATAGCCCACTGACACTTTTCCTCTTCGAGGCGATAAGGGAATGTTTTTAAAAATTCTATTGCTTACGCAAGTGGCGTTTGAAAATGAATATCCTAGTCCACGGGAGGTCCCCACCTCTGGTTATCCCCTTCGCTCATTGGCGTGGCCCGTGCTACTGCGCCTGCTCTCCGGCGACCCCCGCCGTTGGCTAACACTGGCTCAAGCGCGCACGGTCGCCCAGGGAACCTAACTAGTCGCGAGGTTCTGCCGATCACTGGCTTGCAGCTGTCTCCCGAAACGTCAGCGCGCTACACTCGGGGGCGGCGTCCGGTACCCAGAACGTCCCAGAGAAGCTCTCGAGCCGCGTCCTCCTATCAGAGGAAATGCATCTAAACTCCTCCAAGTGCTGGCTGATGGCCTCCGTAGTGGAGTGGGCAGGATGAACCCAAAGAGAAAATACCAGGAAGCTTGGCGCAGCTTGCCCTGAGTAGCAAATAGTTCTGGTCCATCTATCAGCAGGCATCCCAAACTGTGGTCCTGGGGCGGGCCTAAGATTCGGAGCTCCGCCTGGTGGTACCGACTACCTTCGGCTTTTTCCGCCGCCAGCCGCCAGTCGTTTCGGGAAGCATCGGAGGCGCGGCGCTCTCCTGCTACTGCTTCTGCTTTCCTCAAGCAGCGTTGTCCCGGCAACACGGAGGTACAGGGAATCTGGCGAAGTTAGATTCCTATAGCTGAGATGCAGACGTGTCTGTGGCTGGAGCAGGAAGTCCAGCCAGGCTTCGGGTGGGGTGGGTCCTCCAAGATCGGGCTGGGGGCCTAGAGGTGACCTGCCCAGACCCTCTTGATTCCTCTGTGCTGGTTTCATGAGGGTTATCTCTTCCCTGCACAATCCTAGGCCCTCTGCTGAACTTTCGATTTGTGGTTTCCTCTTGATGCATTTAGTGTGAAGTGGAGGGGGGCGGGGCAAGAAAGCCGAAATCCTGCGCTTAGTCAACCTTCGGGTGGTTTATAAAAGATACCATGACCTGACTTGGACCCCTTTTGAACTGCACAGCTTTTCAGTAATGTCTGCCTGATGGAGCCAGTGGCCTTATTCTGGCCTAGAGTGTGGCCATTGGTCACTCATTACTCCTGAAAGTCTACATTAGTCCCCATACTTTTGTTCCTGAGTGTCTCAGAGGAGTAGCTTTTCTTTAAGCCTTGTTAGTATGGCTCCGTGGCATAATGAGCCTAACAGATTCTTTCCAAAAAGTTGATAGAGGCAATTACCCCTGGGGATTATAAAAATGAGGATCAGTTGACTGATAAGTGAAATTTTCTTTTTCTTGTTTTCTGTGCTAGATACTTGGAGCTTGTTTTAATTGAAGAAAGGGTAAGTACTTGTTCCTGAACTAAGGCCATTATCAGATTCTTGTTAAGTAGCTATTTTATTGTGAACATCTGCCTCCTAAAGTTTGCTTTAATAATGTTTTAATTATGTGGCTGATATTCATTTAAAAACTTAAGTGCTTGTGAAAGAGAGAATGAACCATTAAAACATTGTATAAAATGAGCTTATTGAAACTGGCACATAGGCCCTTTTTAAAAACTAAGATTTTTTTTTCTTTTTTTTGAGACCAGGTCTCAACCATGTAGCTAGCCTTGGCTGCCTGAAACTCAATATGTAGCATACTGGCCTCAAACACATAGGGATCCTCCTGCCTCCTCTTCTTGAGTGCTGGGATTAAAATCTTGTGTCACTTGGTATGTGTGTGTGTACACATGCATGCACCCCAGTAAAGGCATCAGACCCTGGAGGAGCTGGAGTTACAGGCAGTTGTGAGCTTCCTAATGTGAATGCCGGAACTTGAACTTGAGTTGTCTGGAAGAGCACTATGCTTTCAAACCTGTGTAACATTTCTAATTCAGCTTCTCAATGGTCACTGTAGCTTTGTGATTCCCGACTGTCTAATAAGAGACAGCTTCTGTCCTCTACCACCTGGAAATCGTAGCTAGAAAGCATTCTTTTTTAAAATTTATTTACTTTTATTTTATGTGCATTGGTGCTTTGCATGTATGTCTGTGTGAGAATGACAGATCTTGGAGTTACAGACAGTTGTGAACTGCCATGTGGGTGCCTGGAATTGAACCTGGGTCCTTTGGAAGAGTAGCCAGTGCTCTTAACCTCTGAGCCATCTCTCCAGCCCTAGACAACATTCTTGAGCTTTATGGCTTTACTGAAACTGAATGCTGTTTTTCTCCTTTTCTCCTTGAACAGATATTCTCTTATGGGCAGTTTGCTTTTATTTTGTTTCAAAGTTTTCTTTGAAGGTATTTATAGAAACTGAAATCATGCTTATTGTGTCCGGAATGAGAATTGCCAAGAATTAGTTGAAACCCTGGCTTCAGTGCTCACTTGCTTTCATTCTATTTTTAGTTATTTCTTTGATGGTGATGGATTTTACTTCTTTCCCAGCACACTGTGGATCATTCTAAGTCCAATTCTTTGCTTCTAATTTTTCTATTCCTTCATAATAAAAATCTCTAACAAATGAACTTACCCACATTAGTCTAAAGAACACTTTTAAGGTGCTAAGTGTTTTTGTAGATTTGCTTCCCTTTTATATGTAGTTACTCTTGGTGGTTTTTTCCTCTGCAGGTTTCATCCCTGACCAGATCTATGCATCATCATGGCACTGTATTTTGACCACCGAATCAAAGCCCCAGATGTATCCAGATCTCCCTCACACATCACCTGGCACCCCACCCACCCATTCCTGGCGGTAGCATCTGTAAGCCCATCTTGTGGAGGCAATGTTGACATCTACCTTGAACAAGTGAGTCATCAGAGCTACTTTGACTTCAGCAGCTTCTAGC